GAATACTAAAAGTGCCATGGGCTGCCAAAAGAACCAATAGATCTGTTTTGGAAGAAGTGCAGCCAGAGTATTCCTTAGAGGCCAAGATGGCTAAACTTCATCTCTCATACTTTGGACATATTGTCAGGAGGAACAGTCGCTGGAGAAGGATATCTTGCTTGGTAAGATGGAGGGTCAGAGAAAAAGAGGAAGACCCCCAATGAGATAGATTGGCCAGGCGGCAGCATTGATGGACTAAAGTGTGGCAGCGGTAGTGAGGTTGGCCCAGGATTGGACATTGTTTCATTCTGGTGTACACTGGGTCACTATGAGTCAGTTCTGCCTCAATGGCACCTGACAACAACGACTAGTTATCTTTCTCACATCTCAATGAAATATAAATTATGATGACAATTTGAATTATCTCCCAAATATATTTTTTGTTCCCCCTTATATATTCTACATTCATTTTATTTTAAAAGATATTTTTTATTCACACTAGTTCATCTGTTAAATGTGTTTTGTTACATTTATTATAAAGTTCAGACACCCATATTATCATTGCATTATTTGGTTCTTTACTACATTTTCTTTTGTATTTCTGTCTCTGATTTGTTTCATTTACCTCATTCTATTTCACTTTCTATTTCCCATACCTAAAACATATATTTCCAATCACTTATCATTTTTTTAAATTTCACACTAGTCACACACTCCTTCTCCCCACTCTTGATGTTCCAAGTTATATCTGTTGAGCACATCAAGCTAATTCTTATCAATATATCATGTTTCTTGCTTGACATGAAGTTTTCCACAAGCTTTTTACAAAACCAATTCATTTATTCTCTTCAAAGTGTCATCATAAGTAGCATGGACAGAAAAACATGTCCAGACTACTTTAGCATAAACAGTTTAGTTGTTTTTTTTTTTTTTTTCATATTTTCCATAAAATGCCATTCTGTTCAAGTCCAATGTTGAATAAAGTGCAAACTGATTTGTTGTTTGTTGTCATGACCATCATTTAAAGTATTTTCTGTTTCTGATGTATAAATATGAAATATTCACTACATGTATCTTTTTAACTATTTATGAAACAAATTAACACAACCCCTGGGAAGCAATAGAACCTCATTGTGTATACTTTTACAATGAATTTTATCCATAAATTCTAGTAAAATTCAAAAAGTAATCATCAACATCTACTAAAGATAGAATTATTAAGCACATCATTCTAGATTACATGCTAATTCTTTTAATAAATTTAAATAAATAAATATCCTTAGTAAAAATATTCTTATTCAAGTTATATTACAAGAGATTATACATCAAAGACTACTACAAACAGTTCTCAAAGAGAAGTGTTTGACAAAAAAATTACATATTTGATAAAAATAACATCTTACATTGCTTCAGGATTCATTATACAAACATTTGCTTTACAGTAGCACTTGTATATGTCATCATATGTTAATCCTAGATTAATTCCAATCAACTGTGTCAAAACAACAGAGAATGCCTCTAAAGTTGTCGTCTTTGTATACTAAACAAAACAAACAAAAAAGAGCAGAATCAAGGACTTGTGACCTTATTTCTTAAATTATAATGCAAATATATATTTAAACAACTAGCAAATCAAAGCAAATTATATGTATTATTTTACTAGGAATAATGAAATACAATTAAATACCTTTTTGTTTTGAATAACAATGTTTTCAATTCAAATGGCATTTTCATATAATAATATTTTTGTTTTGTTTGTTAAGTGCCGTCGAGTCCGTTCCAACCCATAGCGACCCCTGTATAGGGTTTCTGAGGGTGTAAATCTTTACGGGAGTAGAAAGCCTCAACTTTCTCCAGCGGAGCGGCTGGTAGTTTCAAACCGCTGACCTTAAGTTTCGCGGCCCGATTCGTAACCACTACGCTACCAGAGCTCCTATAATAATATTAATACCATATAATAATATTAATACCAATAACATGTATGCCTTGTTATTGTAGCAAATTCCAAATAATTTCAAATAATATTTTGAGAAGTGGAAGCATTTTTGTCAGTGACTACATTATTACTGTTTAGGGGGTAGGGGCTCCTAGTGTGGCACTGTAGAGAAAGCATTAGAAACCACAAGGTCAGTAGTTTAAATCCACCATAAGCTCCTCGAAATCCCTATGCAGGGTTTCTATGAATCAGCCCCAACTCAATAGCATTTAATAACAACACATTATTTTTCAAATTGTCCCAAGGGGTGATAAAAAGTTTCCTAATTACTGAATTCACAAATCAATTTTGACTTCAAAATAAAGTGTAGGGGGGAAGCTCAATTTTTACTAATGTATTTATTTCAAGGTATATTTCAAGGCAGGGAGCAGGGTGGCTCAGTAGGATAAGCACTGGACTTTGAACCACAAGGTTGGTCATTTGAGCCCACCAGCCTCTCTATGGGAGAAAGTTGAGCCTTTCTGCTCCCACAAATATTACAGCTTCAGAAAACTCTGTATAGAGTCATTATGAGTTGGAATCAATACAATGGCACTTACCAACATGACAACAATAGTGCAGTATCTACTGATATTTGGAACTTGAGGAAAGATGGCAGCATGAACAGTTATAATTGCCCAACCCTTCCCACAAAGTTGCCACAAAATATAAGCATTCCTTCTCTGGACTTACTGGAACTTAAGTAAATGGGCAGAGAACTAAGCAAAGATGTGCTTACATAAGGGTTTCTTCCAGAAACATTGCTGTTGAAAATACTGGGGGGAAATGAACACTAACTGGAAAAGCTAACATCTAACAAATTTCTAATGTTCTGATTTCAACACAAGATTAAAAGACAAAATGAATTGAAGACTCTGCCCCTAAATGGTGGTATAGGCAGTTGAAGGGCTCCAACTCCAAGGTGTAACTACAGAAAAATAAAACAAAATAGAACAAATAACTTGGAGTAATGGATAGAATTTATACTCTAAAAACTAGCTCAATGAACAATACACCCAGGCAAAAGCAGAAGGAAGGATAAGCCTATCAAAATAGTAGAAAAATGTACTCACTTTACTAAGGAGATTCCCTTTACCCAAGCCCCATTGTAGTGAATTCAAAGTACCTAGACATAGCCTATAAGCCACAAACTCTAAATTGTTCTCTCATACCCCAAGTCAGTGGTGAAACAACCTACATTTTCCTGATGGTTTACTTTGAAAGCATACATTTTGTATCTTCCCTGAGGTAAAAAAAAAAAAAAAAGTATCTCACAGTAATCAGACAACTTATCTTCTAGGCAGACTGTTGTTGTTACTGTTATGTGCCATCGAGCCGGTTCCAATCCATAGTGACCCTGTATAGGGTTTCCGAGGGTGTAAATCTTTACGGGAGTAGAAAGCCTCATCTTTCTCCCACGGAGCAACTGGTAGCTTCGAACAGCTGACCTTAAGGTTCACAGCCTGATTCGTAACCACTACGCTACCAGAGCTCCTTAGTAGGCATCATTTAAAAACAGACAGTAATGGCAACAATGCACAGCTGTCCCTGATCTATCTGAAGGACAGCAATAAAGGGAAATCCTCCCAATCAGGAAATCTTTGAGCAATGAACCTAGTTCTTTACTTTGCTTAGGTTAATGCTACACAAACAGTCTACAACTAAGACAAGGAAAACCAAATAAAATAGTCAGAGATGATAGTCGTGGAACCCTGAGCTTCAGATGAAGGAACTGAGAAATGAATTGAATGCTTAGTAAGAGAAGGAGCTTCTCTTACTAAGAAGAGAACAAATGTAGCAAAATATATGAGACCGATTGTTGACATATACCAGCAGACCATATGCAGAACAGCCATCTGAAATTTTCATGGGTGGCTTTAGAGATAAGTCAGAGTTTTGTTGATCTAGAAGTATACCAGTGACTTACGGAGATAAAAGTGTGATTTTTTTTTCCCCCTTGTTCCGCACACTCCTCTGGTGACTAGAGGCATGGCTAATCTTCACCCATGTACACTCCCAGCAAAGCTCCTGCTCTCCCTGGTTCATAGTAACACCGTGAGTAAGGCAGTTGTGAGACCTATGAAAGTGAGTAAGGAGCTATCTACATTAGCCCTGCTCCAAATCAGCAAAGCCCTGGCCAGTCCTGGATTAGCCCTCACTAGGAAAAGAAGCTGAACAGACACAGGAGGAGTAAAAAAAGAGACAGACAGATGACCTATGCCAGCCAGCCAGACAAGGCTCAATCATTTTTAACTTTTGCAATAGTTTTTTAGGCAGAAAGCAGCTGGGTGGTACAGATGTATACAGCTTGCTCGTGGAGCAAAGGGGTGATTTTTTTTTTTTTTTTTTTTGTATCTCACCTTACCCCAGTGACCAGAGGTGTGACCAACCTTCAGTGGCACATATTCCCAGAGAAGATCCCGCTCTTTGATGGCTGCATGGTGATGAGCCATGCAGTTGTGAGGTGCATCAAATGAGTAGGGAGCTAACTCCACCATATCTGACACCTGAATACTATTGAGGTTTACTCTAGACCTTCAGAGCCAGTTCTGGCCAGCTCTGCATAAGCAGGAACTCTCACTCTAGCTTCCCTCTAGGACAGATAGGCCTTGATTCCAGCTTATTTAGAGTCAGCATGATCTGTTTTCAGATTGGGTACCCAGAACAAAAAACACCTTTATTTATAGAAACTCCCATGAGTGGCTTTAGAGATAAGTCAGAGGAGCAAAGATTCACTAGTTCAACCCACTGACCAACTACCATGTAAGCAACTTGGCTGGCAGGAGCTCCCAGAATTTTCTCATATCTGGGTTTGGCACCTGTGCTGTTTTTACCTTTTGTTTAAGTTTTTTCATTCTTTCATCCTCTTTGTCCTCTCTTTACCTTTCCTTGCTTTTTATACTTTCTATCTTTGCATATAAGGAGCTCTGGTAGCATAGTGGTTACGAATTGGGCTGCGAACCTTAAGGTCAGCGGTTCGAAACTACCAGCCGTTCCGCGGGAGAAAGATGAGGCTTTCTACTCCCGTAAGGATTTACACCCTGGGAAACCCTGTACAGGGTCGCTATGGGTCGGAACCGACTCGACGGCACTTAACAACAACATCTTTGCATATATCAGCATTTCTCAAGCTGCGGGAATTGAAGAAAAAATTCAAGCCTTGGCTTTCATTATTGAAAGATTCTCTGGGGAAATTATTGAATGATGCAGAAAGGAATACACAGAGTCACTGTAACCAAAAGGAAATGGTTAATGTTCAACCATTTCAAGAGGTAGCATATGATCAAGAGCCAATGACACTGAAGGAGGAAGTCCAAGGTGCATTGAAGGAATTGGCAAAGAACAAGGCACCAGGAATTGATGGAATAAAAATTGAAATCTTTCAAAAAAGTGAGGTGGCACAGGAGGCACTCACTCATCTCTGCCAAGAAATTTGGAAGACAACTATCTGGCCGACTGATTGGAAGAGATCCATATTTGTGCCCATTCCAAAGAGAGGTGACCAAACGGAATGCAGAAATCATCGGACAATATCTTTGATATCCCCTGCAATTAAAGTTTTGCTAAAGGTAATACAGAAATGGCTAAAATCATACATTGACAGAGAACTTCCAGAAGTTCAAGCCAGATTCAGAAGAGGCCGTGGAATGAGGGATATCATTGCTGATGTCCGATGGATCTTGGCTAAAGCAGAGAATATCAGATAGATGTTTACCTGTGCTTTATTGACTAGACAAAGACTTTTGATTGTGTGGATCATGACAAGCTATGGACAACATTGAGAAGTATGAGTATTCCAGAACACTTAATTGTACTCAAGAGGAATTTGTACCTGGACCAAAAGACAGTTGTTTGAATAGAACATGGGAACGCTGAATGGTTTAAAATTAAGAAAGGTGTGCGACAAGGTTGTATTCTTTCACCATACTTATTCAACCTGTATGCTGACCAAATAATCCAAGAAGCTGGGTTCCATGAAGAAAAATGTGGCATCAGAATTGGAGGAGGACTCATTAACAACGTGAGATATGTAGATGATACAACCTTGCTTGCTGAAAGTGAAGACTTAAAATATTTACTGATAAAGATCAAAGAGCACAGCCTTCGGTCTAGATTACATCTCAATGTCAAGAAAATAAAAATCCTCACTACTGGACCAATAAACAACATTCTTATCAACGGAGAAAAGATTGAAGTTGTCAAAGACTTCATTCTTCTTGGATCAATTATCAACACTCATGGAGCAGCAGTCCAGAAATCAAATGACGTATTGCATTAGGCAAATCTGGTGCACAAGAACTTTTTAAAGTGTTGAAGAGCAAAGATGTCAGCTTGAGGACTAAGGTACGCCTGACCCAAGCCATGGTATTTTCAATAACTTCATACGCATGCAAAATCCGGACAGTGAATAAGGAAGACTTTAGAAGAATTGATGCCTTTGATTTACGGTGTTGGAGGAGAATAGTGAAAGTGCCATGGGCTGCCAAAAGAACCAATAGATCCGTTTTGGAAGAAGTGCAGCCAGAGTGCTACTTAGAGGCCAAGATGGCCAAACTTCCTCTCTC